TGTCATATAGCATATATCCTTTGATGCCTGGTGGATAGCCAACAAAGACAGAAGTTGTGGCTCTTTGATGAAATTTCGGACGATTGGACGTTAGAGTGGATGGAAAAGATAGGCATCCAAAGGCTCTTAGGGAATGGTAATCTACTGGGGACTTGTAAAGGAGAGAAAAGGGATAATTATTTTGTAGGAGTGGGGATGGGGTTCTGTTGATAATGAATATGGCTATGACACATTTACCCCATAATTGGATAGGAACTTGGACTGAAAGAACAAGGCCATAGCCACATTGAGGAGATTCTCATGTTTCCTCTCTACAACTGAATTTTACTTAGGTCTTTCCTCGTAGGAGAATTGATGAAGGACTCCTTTAGAGGCAAACAAAATCTGTGAATTGGAGTTCAGAAGCATTATCAGAACAAAACCTTTTAATGACCTTTTGAAACTGAGTTTCAATCAGATTAAAGAACCTGGGAATAATTGAACTAACATTTGATTTATGTTTCATAAGATAGATCAATGTGAAGCGTGTACAATCATCAACTAAAGTCAGGAAGAATCTGTATCCAGCATGTGTTGGAACATGATAGGGACCCCAAATGTCGCAATGAGTCGAATCAAATGCATGCTTAGAAAGATGATTGTTATATAAAAATGACAATCTTCTTTGTTTAGCTAAGGGACAAACATGACATGGAGCTGAAAGATGCTTTCTATTACATGTTAGACTCAACTGGTCCTTCATTGATTCTAACCTTTGATAGGACAAGTGACCAAGTTTTTGATGCCAGGTATTGGTGGTCATATTGTTAACAACTAAACATATATAATTGAAAATGTTACAATTATTTAAAATAGATCTAGATGAAATAGCGTCCAATATGTAGAGACCATCCATTTTATTAGCCTTGCCAATTATATATGCTATCCAGATCCTGAATAGTGTAACAGTCAGTAAGAAATTGTATACTGACAGATGATTTCCTGGTTAGTGCACTGATAGACAATAGGTTGAACTTGAAATGAAGAACATATAACGCTTCCTCTAGTATCAATTCAGAAGACATTTTCACTGTTCCATTGAAGTAAATTGGAATTCTTTCATTATTTGGCCATGTAATATAGGCATTCCCGATTGGTTTCAGTGTGTGAAAAGCTGAATGAGCAAAGCATATATGGCTTGTAGCTCTAGAGTCCATTACCGAATATGTGTGAGAGTTAAGCGTTGGACTGAGGGAAATAGAGAAACAAGTACTCAAGATGTGGCCAGAGACCTATTTCAGCATCAGTCTTTGTACTTGTAAGATGTGTACTCAGCATATTCATTAGTTGCTGATATTGAGTATGATTTAAGGTTTGTACGAATTCCCCAATACTGGCTTTGATACCATAATAGAATGAGGAAGAAGGAATTTTATTAATTGAACTTCTCGAAATGAAATTGCAGTACACATCGTCTATAAATACATATCAAAATTAACAGAAATGGATCTAACCAACTGCCTAACAAAACATACTAATATTTACAACCAATGCAATAGTGACGTATGTAATCAACTTCCTTAACTAACAAAAAGAATCTACTGTACTTGAGCTGGTTTGATGCATTCACGTAGAGGAGCTGAATCAGTGAGCTGAGGCAGTTGGAATTGAGCTGTGAGCTGAGTTGTGATTGAGCTGAATTCTGTTATGTTTTCGAGGACTTTAATGAAAGACTCTTGTTCTTGAAGAATGAGTTACATGGCTTTGTTGATAACAATGTTTCTACTTGTGTTGATTCCAGAATGGAAAATTAATCAGGTACATCTTCTCTTTTCAGATTTGAAGAGAATAAAATCATTTTGTTAAATCAACGTATATTGTGTTAAATGTTTGAGTAATCAATGGAAAAAACTTGTTTTATTTGCTCTCCGTAGTCGTTAAAGGCGTGTTTGGCACTATTTACTTGGCATTGACGTGACGCCTAAATAACTATTTAACGTGTCATGTCACCTTATCATCAACCACATAAGCAAGTTTACTAACAATTTTCTTTCGATAGCCCGTGGATGGATTAAAATTCAATGGCCAATGAGATAGGTTATAAAACACGGTAAGTAAGCTGTGGATGGAGTAAAATTGAATGACCAATGAGATAAGTTATAAAGGACGATGAGTAAGCTGTGACAGTATCAAAGTTCAATGGCTATTCAACTCAAAAATTTATAACAAAATATCAATCCCTTTTTCAATGAAATTGGAGTCTATGAATTTGTGGTCGACGTGAGGAACATTATTTCACGTTGGGTAGAATTATATTATCAATATTCATCTCAAAAGCCAATTTTATCCATTTTAAAAAGGAGGAAATTATATAAAATCAGAGTTTTAAAAATTCAATTTCAAAAATTAGATCTAAAATTTATTTATACAAAAATCAGATAATAATTATACTTAACCCTAATCACTTTTTATATTATTCTCTCTCTCTCTCTCTCCCTCCCTCCCTCCCTTACTCATCTCTCAACACTATCACCTTACTCATCTCTCTTACGAAGAACACTGCCACCGCCACTATGAAGAGCCACCACCACCACCACCGGACAAGACGCCACCACATCGCGCCTTACTCATCTTCCTCACAAAGAACATGACCACCCTCACTCATCTCCCTCACGAAGAACACTGTCGTCCCCGCTATGAAGAGCCACCACCACCACCGGACAAGACGCCACCACCTAGCGGCGTACTATTTTCCTCAAATGAAATGAAGGTTAAGAAGTCGTTACCCATGCTGCCGTCGGCATCGATGTCTGTAGTGATTTGTGATTTGTAGTTTGTGGTGAGCGTCGGTGATGTCTGTAGTTCGTGGTTTTGGGTGATGAGCTCCCTGCTGGGGTTTTTCGACACGGCACACGATTCAGATACTAGTGTAGGTTGTGTTGGTGTAGGTGGATCTATTGTGGTGTTTGGGTAGCAGTGGCTTACGGTGGCGGAGGTTATGTTGGATGTGATGGTGGCTGTAGTTTTATTGGTGGCGATGGGTTTGGTGGTGGTGGCTTGGTGTAGGTCTGTGTGTTTGGGTGGCGGTGGCTTTGTTGGATCCAACGATGGCGGAGGTTATGTGGGATCTAATGGTGGTTGTAGTTTTGTTGGTGGTGGTGCGGTTGATCTTGGTGATGGTGATGGTAATGGTGGTGATGGTGATGATGAGATGTTGGTGTCGGTGGGTCTATCAAGATTGTGGTGTTTGTGTTTTGTGCAATGTGTTGATTTGTTTGAGGGGTGTTGGTTTTGGCGGTGACGGTGGCGATGTTGGTTTTGGCGGTGACGGTGGCGGTGGTGGTGGTGGTGTTGCTGGAGGGAGTAGTGCGGTGGTGGTCACTAATGTCTGTTGTGGTTACATTATTTGGTTGATTGTGCCCATTAAATTTGTTAATCCATGACTAATAAACAATATGTGACCAATGAAAAAAATAAATTGTAATAAAAAAATAATGTGTAACATAAAAAACTGTTCATTTGTGAATAATTTGACAATTTGTGACAGATGAACAAATTATGACCTATAAAAATTTTGAATTGTGATCGTAAAATAATTTGTGAAATATAAAATTAGTGATTTGTGACCAATGATTAATATGTAACTTATTAATTGATAGATTTGTGACTGATGAATATATTGTGATATATAAATTTTTTTTTGTGATCAATGAATAAATTGTGACATATAAATTTTTGAATTGTGACCGTAAAATAATTTTTGGTCTATAAAATTTCTGATTTGTAACAGAAAATAATTTGTGACGTTTCAATTTTTTATTTGTAACCGATGGACAAATTGTGACCTATAAAATTTTTGAATTGTGACCGTAAAATAATTTGTGACACAAAATTTATTATTTGTGACTAATTATATGAAATTTGTGACCAAATTATATGAAATTGTGACCTTAATATATTTAATTAATAAAATATTTATTTCATTAATTAATGTAAAAATAAAATTAAAAAAACTCNAATAAAATATATGTTTAATTAATTAATTTATAAATAAAATTAAAAAAACTCTGAAATTTGAAATTTTAAACTTAATTTTTTAAATTTAAAATTGGCAAAACTAAACCTCTTATTTATGAATTTTTCCCTTTAAAAATCCTCCCAAGTATCCATTTCTTTTGGTATTCGAATTGAAAATTGTACTTAAAAGGAAAAGTGAATTGCCTCCTCAAAATTTCCAGGGCCAGATTGTGTCTAAACTATAATTTTTTTAGGGTTGGATAAAACTCTCGAACCGAATCGGACCCAAACTGAATCGAGTGGTTCTTCTTAAGTTAAATACTCGAACGTGTATCTAAATCGAGAACTAACGAGTTTGGTTCGTTTTTTGATTCCAAACAAAAAATGAAATAAGAACTGAATTTCCCTAATTTTTTAATTTTTTATCTTAATTAGGTAAATTATTTTATTTTTTAAATAAATTGATAACTAATTAATTTAATCCAAACCCAAAATATAATTTTACTATTTCTAATTTTGAGTCAAATCCAACTTAATCAAATTGGCCTAAATTTTACTTATTCTACAG